CCCTCCCCCACAGGAGCACGGGCCGGGTTTCAGGAAGGCCAGGCCGGGTGGCAGGAGCCTGGGTCCCCAGAAGGTGGGACAGGGCGCGGGGGAACTGCTCTGGAAGGACACTTGACCCCTGTGGGCCCTTTTCGCCCTTCCAAGAGGCCCGGGGATGGGGAGGTGTTCTGTTCCAGCCGAAGAAGCCGAGGCTCGGAGAAGCCAAAGGGACCGTGGCCAGGACCGAAGCCCAGGTCTGAGGCCGTCACCACGGTGGCCCCCAGCTCCCACCCACGGAGCAGAGAGCAAGCCTGCTGCTGACAGTCTCTTTATTTCCGTCTCCCCTGCAAGCCCACCCCCGGGGCTCCAGGCCCCCAGTTCAGCAGCGGGCAGTTTGTAAATAAATAAATTACAAAAGCGGTGGGGCGTGCCCTCCGGGGGCCGGTGGCTCAGTGTTCCGTGAGCGACAGACGCAGGATCCGCTGCAGGTCTTCTTCCTCCTGCTGCCCGCGCAGCTCCCGCTCCTCTTGCTCGCGGGACGACAGCTCCAGGGCCAGGCGAAGCTGCTCCTCAAAGCTCGGCGGGGCGGGGGACGGGGGCGTCCTGTGGGGGGATCCTGGGCCCCGGGGCTCTGTGGACAGCCGCAGGCTTTCCTGGAGGGCCCTTCGGGCAGGGCGTGGGAGGGGAGAGCGGGCCAGTGAGCGCCAGGGGCAAAGGCAAGGACAGGGTGGCAGGGAGAAGAGCCAGGCCGGCCCCTGTGCTCCCACCCCTCGCGCTGCCTTTGGTGGTGGGTAGCGTTGCCGACGGAGGCTGGCCTGGACGAGGAGGGCCGGGCCGGCTTCTGTCTGGGCCCGGCCCGCAGCCCTGCCCTCCTCCTCAGCCCAGGGCCGCCACCTCACAGAGTGCTGAACTTTCATGCCCAGCACAGCCCAGGGCAGGACTGCCGGGGTTTGAGTCCCAGCTCCACCCGTGAGCAGCTGAGAGAGCCCGCGAGGGGTGGCCCGGGTCGGCTGGCCACTCAAGGCAGGGTGCAGACGGGACAGGGACCCATGGGTCCCACAAGGGCCTCACCGCTCCAGCTGAAGCTGTTCCTCGTAAACCGTGGCCTGGGGAGGAGGGCGGGCGCCGGGCCGGGTGTTGGTCAGGGCTTCCCAGACGGTCACCTGCAACACCAGAGACGGGGAGCTGCCACCTCCCGCCGTGGCTGCAGAAGCCCCGGCCCATCGCCTGCCGGGTCCCACCTGCTCCGCCTCCGTGCCCGCTCCCAGCAGACTCTGCTGGATGGCGAACTGCAGCAGGTCGTCATCTTCGTCGCGAAGGGGCTCGCCGCGCTCCGCGCCCAGCACGCTGTACCCCTCGGGCACCTCGAACACGGCGGGGTCCACCTCGCACGCGAAGGGGCTCCCTGGGCAGAGAGCAGAGGGGCCACGCTCAACCCCAAGGCTTCACGGCCAGAGTGCCGGGCCGCCTCCCTCTCTCCACGGGGTACCTGAAGCTGCCACAGCAGAGCTGGGGGCCGGCACCCACACCGAGCTCAGGGGCTCATCGCAGCCACACAGGTTGCCGAAGGTGATGCGGGCGTTGAGCACGTGGAAAAGGGGGATCTCTGGGAGGAGACAGCCACGCCTGAGCCCCGGTGGGCCCACCCGCGCCTGCCCCTGCAGCCCTCGGGGGCGGCGCTGACGGGAGGGCACCGTGCTGTGGCCCTCTACCCGCTCACCAATCTTGACGGGGAAGCCGGGTGGGAGGCGCAGGGTGATGAAATCTCGCAGCTTGGCGAAGTGGGCGTTGCTGATGGCCATCAGGTCGATGATGGGTGTCACCTGGTCGCCCAGGGAGAGTGGGTGCTCCTCACTCAGCCACAGTGTTGCCTTGAACCTGCCCAGCCGAGCACAGCACGTGGGTCCAGGAGCCGCTGGAGGCCCTTCCGCAAAGGTCCGTCCCCTCTGGCTCTCTGGCCACCTGCCTTGACCGCACCTTCCGCCCGGCTGTCCCCACCTGATGCCCTCGGGAGCTGGTGTCCTGGCCCTACAGCCCCAACTGCGCCCGGACCCTGAGCGCAGACTGCGGCTCAAGATGGTTTTGTGCCAGCCCTCCTGGTCTGGATGTGGAGGGCCAGGGCCAGGCTGTGGGCTTCTGTCTGGGCCTGGCCCGCAGGCCTGTCCGCCTCAGCCCAGAGCTGGCTACCCCCTCACACACTGCTAGACTTTCATGTCCAGCCCAGCTCAGGCAGGACTGCTGGAGTTCGAATCCCAGTTCCACCCACGAGCAGCTAAGAGAGCTCACGTGAGGTGGCCCTGCGAGCACTGGGCCTGCTGCAGGCACTATGGCCACTGTTACAGCTACACCCACTCATCTGATATCCTCTGAGGCAGGTGGCAAGCATGACTGTTCTGTTTCACAGAGGAGGAAAGTCACCTCGGGAGAGGAAGACGTTTCTTCGGGCCACACAGCCAGGAGGCGGCAAAGCTGTGGGCCCGTCCCTCGGACCCTCCCCACATTGCCACAGGCTGGCTGTTGGCAAGGGCTCATTAAATTCAACAGAATTGGTGGCTCAGCCTGTCATCCCAGCATTTTGGGAGGCCGAGGTGACTGGATTGCCTGAGCCCACCGGTTCGAGACCAGCCCAGGCAACTTGGCAAGACCGTGTCTCTACAATAAACCAAAAATTAGCTGGGCATGGTAACGTGTGACTATAGTTCTGGCTACTTGGAAGCTAAGGCGGAAGGATCACCGGAGTCCAGCAGGTAAATGCAGGGGTGGCCATGAGCGTGCCACCGCACTCTAGCCTGGGTAACAAGAGTGCGTCTCTGACTCAAAACAAACAAACAAACAAAAATCCACCGGGCTCAGTGGCTCAGCCTGTGATCCCGGCACTTTGGGAGGCCGAGGTGAGTGGATTGCCTGAGCCCGCAGGTTCGAGACCAGCCCAGGCAACTTGGCAAGACCGTGTCTCTACAATAAACCAAAAATTAGCTGGGCATGGTAGTGTGTGACTATAGTTCTGGCTACTTGGAAGCTGAGGCGGAAGGATCACCGGAGCCCAGCAGGTAAATGCAGGGGTGGCCAAGAGCGTGCCACCGCACTCTAGCCTGGGTAACAAGAGTGTGTCTCTGACTCAAAAAAAAAAAAAATCCACCGGGCTCAGTGGCTCAGCCTGTGATCCCGACACTTTGGGAGGCCGAGATGAGTGGATTGTCTGAGCCCGCAGGTTCGAGACCAGCCCGGACAACTTGACAAGACCTCATCTCTACAATAAATCGAAAATTATCCAGGCGCGGTAGTGCGTGCCTGGAGTTCTGGCTACTAGGAAGACTGGGGCGGAAGCATCACCAGAGCCCAGCAAGTCAACACTGGGGTGGCCATGAGCGCGCCACTGCACTCCAGCCTGGGTGACAGCCCACGAAACCAAAAAAAGTCCAACAAAACCGTATGTGGCTGACGCTGCTCATCCATTCATCAGAGATGTGTGACCAGTTCTCTGGGCCAAGCCCCCTGCTGGGTACCGGGAACAAGACAGACATGGCTCTCGCCCTCAAGAAGTGAACCTCAGAGAGAAGCCGGCCGAGTGAGCGGGTCCCTCGTGATGAGGCGCCGTGTGTGACACGAGTCCGCAAGGGCTCGGGGCATCCAGGGC